TCACTAGCGTGAAAGCACACAGTTCAGTGCCAAACCTTAAGTAGCAGAAATAGGACGGAATCGTCTCAACGACTTGAGTGCCGTTCAGTGCCATATAAATGCCATAGCAGTAGAAAGCATTAACAATGTCATCTAGCGGTGAGGCGACGGGACTAATGGCGTGTTAAAGTTGTGGTCGTTACAAGCACTTGCAGTGTCTTTGGACATTTCTAAAGCCTTTGACAGGGTCTGGCACGCAAGCCTTTTAAGCAAGCTTCCATGTTATGGGCTTCTCACTGACCTTTGCAATTGGATCTCGGATTTCTTGAGTGAACGTTCCATTCGAGTGGTCTTAGAAGGCTACTCTTCTGAACATATGGCGATAGATAGCTGCATATCAATGATATGTTAGTTCCAGGTACCTTTGCGTATGCTGATGACAGCACAGTTGTAGATAGGTACTTGACCAATGCAAAGGTCAGAGGAGAGGAAATCCAGTCTTGTCGAGAGTCCATGGTTAGCCGTTTAGATTTGACGCTCAAGGCAGTCTCCGATTGGGGCGATGCCAATCTTGTCAAATTTAACGCTACCAAAACGCAGGCGTGTCTATTCTCCACTAAACGGAGTCCCTTTGAACTGACTCCGACTTTTCGTCATATATCCATACCAATAGCCGACTGTCTCCAGCTACTTGGAATGGACCTATCGTTCAATCTGAACTTCGGCAGATACATTGCAGATACAAAAATGCAGCCAGGAAGCTTGGCATCCTTTCCAGGGTGAGGCGTTACTTCACACCGGGACAGTTGCTTCAACTGTATCAAGCACAAGTCCGGTCGTGTATGGAGTACTGTTGCCACCTTTGGGATGACTCTGCTACATATCAACTGACCACTTTGGATTCAATTGAAAAGCGTACCAAGAGCCTTATAGGTGACTCGGAATAGTAGAGGCGAAGCTGCAGAGCCTTGAACACAGCCGTAAAGTTGCCTGCTTATCGGTATTTCACAGGATATACCACGGAGAGTGTGCAATGGAATTACACGATTTAATTCCGCCTTCCCCTTTCCACCAGCGGGGGACTAGGCGTAGGCTTGGCTTCCACTCCTGTGTTGTGGATATTTCAAAGATTCGCACGAAGCGTTACGCTTCCACATTTATATGGCGAACGGCAATGAAGTGGAATTACCTGCCGGCAGACTTGTTCCCTGAACGTTATAACTTGGACCTTTTCAAGGCGAGAGTGAAAAGGCATTATCTAGGTGTGCATGCTCCATCATCGACCTCATCGTCACTTTCCATCCGGTGAGATGGAGGTCAAATGCACACTTATATTAGAATAAAAAAAACCTATTTTTTTTTAAATAAACAAAATTTCTACTAAAAATTCATTAACAAAAAAACGATAATATTTTATATGATTTATTTAGCATTTTATTACAATTTATGGATCAGAGCTTCTTATAAATAGCTTGGGCTTACAGAATAATTGTTACATTGGTTGGTATCATAAAAAGAAAACATTCTTAAAGTACATATTATTATTATCCTATGAATATATAAATTTTGGTTACAATTCATGACTACCTTAACTTAAAAGTAATGTATGGAACAATATGTAAAAATGAGTTTGTTATATCATTAAAAAAATACCTATTCAAAACCTATGAACTAAAATAAAACGTGTTAACACACAGGACGGGAATAAGAATGATGAGTATCCTGCAATAACGACTTGTGATTATAAATGTAAATTGCTATTTAAGACAGCGTGACGATTGTCGAGCCTAATTCCGACTGGATGTCCACTGTGCTGTGACTACCACATCTGGGGCTACATGAAATACAATGGGGCATAAAGGGCGACATTGATATGGCGGATCATGAAACTCAAGTTACGCAGACCTATTTTGCCACTGTTGAAGGTTCTATGCAAGTGCTTGTTCGTAGGTTCAGCCAACCAACTATATAAGTGATTTTAAGCGATATTGTGACCGACGATGGCACGCGTTTGTTTCAAGAACGTCTATTCACTACAGACTTGTTGAGAGTTGCAGTTTCGAGAAACGCAGATGAAGAAAAATTGAGGGAAAAAAATATAGCTAATAGATAATAAATACATAGCGCTAACGTGGAAAGCAAGATTAAAAGAGGATGACCACGAACAACGTTTTTTACCAAATGAAAATTGCTTTGAAAAACGCTGAAGAGAGTAGTAACAAAAATAAGACATCGTATACGAAAATATTGATGAATGTAAATCTAGCAAAAATGCTTTGGCAGGATCATGCAAAATGACGATCGATACTTTCTGCCTACCTCAACGGGAATCCAAGGGCGTGAGTATGATATAATATATGTATGTGCAGATGTCGGTAGTGAATTCTAAAAATGGGAATTCGAAAAATCGAGGGGATTGAGGAAAATCAATGACATAATTTTTTTATCGTACGAAGTGACGGGACGAATAAAGTGTGTGGCTGGTGTTAGCGTGACGCCTGTTCAATGTCCATAGAAGTTGCAGTGTTAGTCGAATTGCCATTACGTTTGTTAATAGCGCTGTTGTCTCCGCAGGCCATTCGAATTTGTTCGATTGTTTCATTTATTTCTCGTTCTACCATCTTATATACAATGAGTTCCATACACTCTTGAATGTGCTTTTAAGACATGACAGAATTCCCGAGCAAGAATCGTCTTCCACGTCTTTTGGAGCTGAAGTTGGCCTAGGAGGGTATTTAATGTTTATGGCTACGTATGGTTTTGGTTTATATGTGGTGTGAACATTTTTGTCTTGGTCTTTCATTTCTGCTGATCGCTTCGGTTTTGAAGCTACAGGAACAACATTCCAATCTTTACGCTCATTAAACCACTTAACAATATTCTTGTACACTTTTGCTTCCTTTTGTCGATGTTCGTCGTTGAGAGCAGCGCAAAAGGCACAGAAGTTATTGGTATCGGGAGCTTCACGAGAGTCGTGATATGTATAATATTTGTGCCATCTAAACATGCTCTCATAAGACGTGATATTATTAATAATATCGTTCATTGTCCGTGCTAAATTCACTGGTTCCTTTCCCAGGGCATCTAAATAAATTCCGTGGGGCATAAATCTGCAAATGTGAAATTTGAATAATTTCAGAAGAAAAAAAAAATGTTCTAGTCATTATCATCAAGCATGGTGATAATTTGGTCTAATAAAGTAAACTCTTTATCGATGTACCTGGTGTGATTTGCACCCCCGAAAACCACCGGCACCGCAAAGTAGTTTAAAGCAGTTAACAGCTGCGTAGATACAAAGTCTTCGCTCAACGCATTCTCAAAGGACATGTAAAAGTAATACGTAGATTTTATCAAGGCCTCACATTGCTTAACTTTGTTGTAATCTTTGTTGCAAAGCGTATTATTCGCACCTGGACATTGTCCGTAAACATCAATTTTGCGATTATATGTATGCAATTCTTCTTGCAAACTTTTTATATAACGCTGAGACTGACTTCCTGGATCACAGTCCGTTGCAAGCCATATTCCAGTTACTGTTTTGTCCATCAATTTACGTAAAATATCACCACTTATCGGTTTCATTTCGGCATCTGGTAACCAATGCATTTCCTTCTTAGGTCCAACTACTTTGCCATCTTTGTCCCTTATAACAATTCGTGTAAAAACAATATCGGAGTCAAGTTTGTACGTCCAGGTCCAATTGAAGAAATTATTGTATTCAGGAGTTATAGGATGGCGCACTGAAGATTCTGTGCTTAACAGAATGTATCTCTGCTTTTCGGAGCGTCGTTTCGGGAAAGGAATATCCGGATGTTCATGCAGTGCTGCAGAGTCAAATAATAAGGCATCGAATTTGGCTACGTCGCTTAAATAGGAAACGTTCTTTGTTATGTAACAGTTCTGAAACTGACATTTTGGTCCAATAAAATCTTTTCTTCCCGTTTGAAACGGTATTTCTGACGAAGTCCATAGCAAAATGTTAAACAGTTTTTCTTTTTTCGCCTGCTTTTTACTTGCAGTTACGTGTAAAATATTTAGGATCGTGATCACTGTAATCCTTTTTAGGTTGCGTTTCATGGTACCGTTTCGTTTGTCGTCTATAATATTAAATTATAGTAGAACGTATACTTTAGGAAAATGTATTTCACAGCACATCTACTTTTAAACGATCGTTGTTCCTTAATAAACTGTCGAAGATACTGCAGAACTTAAATATGTAATAACAACAATAGTAACAAAGACAATGTAAAAATATGTAATATGTAACACATTGTTAACAATTAATACACTGAACAATGGAATTTTTGAACTATTGCATTATAAATTATAGGATCGTATCACTTTGAAGAACTCGATTGAATATTAAGAATAGTGTTTTAAATAGTTTTTATTCCTTGCTCAGTTGGTATAGATTTACAAAATTAGGAAGATCCGTTAGGATGCCGATGATTCATTTACAAGTCATTGATTGAACACTGAGATAAACATTGATGTGGAAAAATATGTACTTTTCAGCCTATATTGAAACAAATTCTTGGAAGAATCACCGTCCGACCGTCAAATGGGAGTACGTATGCATCTCAATTGGAGATAGTTTTGAGCCAGCCCGGTTTGGTCTACACCATTGACTTACAATTATATGGACGTCGGGTCCGCGCTAAAAAGTGTCCGAACTTATAGGGCGTTAAAATCGTATACAGAGCGTCATTCTCGCTTTAGTCTTCGTTTGTTTCTTCTGACAGCGAAGCAAGCAAAATTAGACAGTACTGCGATGACATTACAATTTAAATTCAACGTTTTAGCTTTTTCATATTCCTTTACATGTCACTACGTTTAAATAGGTTGACTTGAGACGTTTTTTTCGTGGTTTTTGTATTAGACTCGTCGTCCATTTATTTGTAAGTCTGTGTGTGACTCAAACCCTGCAGTGGGAAGTATAACATGGATTGACGTTCATCAAACGTTCAGTTTATTTAAGTGGACTAGTCCCCCAAGGCGAAGAATTTCGGTCAGCGAATGGGACAGAAATGGATATAAATTAATAAATGACACGCTTGAATTTTAGGTGACATCAGCGTTTATCTATTGTTTTGTGTTGGCATATTAAGACGATGGCACAGTGGCCATAGCATAAACATTTTGTATGAGCGCTGCTGGTGCTGGTTGAGTTCTGTTGATTATAATGTTGTTGGGAGAGTAGTACTAGCCTCCGCAGCCTCCGCAGCCTCTTACTTAGTACGTTTAGTTCAAAATTCAAAAGGGTAAAGAACTAGTGGTAATAAATCCAGTTTTATAAATATTTATTCCAGTTTTAACAATATTTATGATCTTTAAAATGTTTATTGTGCAAGAGATTTTTGGTAACTGGTAAACGGCTCAAAAAAAAAAGAAGAGAAGACATGTTCGCTGCCGCGATCGGGCAGGGAGTGACGATGAAACGTCACAATTCTAAGCTATTGAACCAATTTAGTATACAAACTATTCAAAATTTTTTGTCGTCACTGTTCGCGCCTTACATTTTTTCGTTTAATGAATCAAGTACTCAAACTAAAAGGAATTCTCGAGTAAAAGACCCGTAAATTGGTGTTTCTGTTATGTTATACTAACAGCAAAATGTTAATGAGCTGGCATGCTGTAGCTACTAGCTACGTAGCCTACTGTGTGGTACCCTTTAAGATTCAATATTCATTGTTCATCTGTTTTTGTTGTTATTATTCAGATCGATACGCACCTAACTAGACGTGCACACAATAATTAATTTCACGAAACATACATTTCAAAATGATTGGGAAAAAAATAAGAGATATAATAAAAGTTACCATACCCTTACTTATAAATTATGTGCGTACAAGTGAACTAACTCCAAAAATGAAAATAAAAAGTGAAATGATCTACATACTTATATGGACTAGTCCAAGCGAAGATTCATTCCTGTCTATGAAATTGGGACAAAACTCTTTTATTGAGAATCAGTGCGAATACCAAAACTGCTTTTTAACAGACAATTTTACAGTTCCGCTTGCTGTAACACATTTTGGCGCTTTATTGTTCTATTTAGCAGGGCTGAGAAAAGACCCATTCCTGCCAATGCCTACCGAACGGATCATTGAACAGAAATATGTGTTTGTCAGCACAGAACCGTCAGCGCATTTTCCAATTACGGCTTATTACGATAACTTCTTCAATTGGACTTGGACGTATAAATTAGACTCCGATATTGTAATTGCAAACATCGCTATAAGAAATGAAAGTGGCCAAGTAATAGGACCTAAGACAGACATGAATTGGATTCCAATTGAAGTAATGAAGCCACTAGGTTATGAGGTTATTAGAAAACTGGAGAAGAAAACTAACGCTGTAGCGTGGTTTGTAGAAAACTGTACAGTAATAAGTCCACATGAAGCCTTTGTTGCAGCTTTAAGAAACGAGCTAGCGAAATACAATCACAGTGTGCATATTTTAGGGCAATGTAGACAAAACAATGAAGACACAGTCTCTTGTTATAATAAGCAAGAATGTTATGACACAATACAGTCGAGATATTACTTTCATTTGTCATTTGAGAATGTAATGAGTGAAGATTATGTTACAGATCAATTGTTGATTGCTTTAACTAATTACGCTGTACCAGTGGTTTTCGGCGGTGCCAATTATACCAGGTTAGCCACAGGTTAAGGACACACCTGTAACTTTTTAAATACTATTTTGAACATTATCATTCATTCGTCGTACATTTCCAATAAAGATTTTGTACGTGACCATCACACGTGTACTTTAACAAAAATTACTTACATTTTTCTTCCTCTTCAGCCTTTAGTCATCTACTGCTGAGTGTAAGTCTCTTCATTTTTGATTTCTTTCACTATATCATCCATCCATCCATCTAGCCTTCTGGTGGCCGAGGCTTCTGGTACCTGTCCTCGGTCTCTACTCCTGCACTCTTCTACTCTACCGGTCATTGGTTCTGCGTCTATACGACATTGTGCAATGATATGCCCCACATAAGTTAGCTTAGTGCAACTCCTGATTTTTGTTATTTATTCTATATTTTCGAGTACTACCCTACATGGCGCGTTCCATCTTTCTTTAAGCTACTTGCACGTTCTGGATGCATTGCTGTAAGAATATAGACATAATTCTTGTTAGACTTTTGTTTGACAGAAAAAGGCACCTCTTATCACCTGAAAGTATTTGGGATAGCGTATTTTATATAAAAATAAGCACTAAAGAGACACGGAAAAGTGTTTGCTCTCAAAAAACACCCCCACGGATACAACTTTAGAGTGAATACTAACCTGTTAACCTTTGGTAACGATAATTAGTGTACTCAATGTTCGAATGTTTATTTCAGATTCATGCCTGACGGAATTTACTTAGATGCTTTTGAATTAGGACCAGTTGAATTAGCAATTAAAATCTATAGTATCATAAGCGATGACAACACTTACTACAACATGTTTAAATGGCACAGATATTACAGTTACCATGACCCCCGTCAGAGACCTGATTCTAATTCCATATGTGCATTTTGTGATTTGCTGAATAACTTTAGAAAACAGAAACCGATAACAATGTACACAAACATTGTTAAATGGTTTAATGAGCGTAAAGATTGGAATGTTAATCCTAAGCCAACAGTGAAGTATGAAGTTACTCGATGGGTCTCGAAAAGCTAGGAATCAAGTGAGCTCAATGACAGGATGAGCAAGTCGTGCCCCTGGTGTTCAGTAGGGGGTGCAGAGGAACCATGATCCCGGGTAGCACATGGGGGCGGCGACGAGCGCGGCCGAGATCAAACAAGTCTAAAAATTTTTTTTTAATTTAAAATTTGAAAATACATTCCACTATTTGAACAACACAAAGGTGGTGAGCCGTAAAATACTTAGTCGTAGAGTACTTTTGTAATTGTGAAAATAAAGGTGGCCATAAATTTGAGATTAGCCCCGTGCGGCGGAAATCAACGCTACGCCATTACGATGAATCGCAAAGATCTAAGGGGCAATACCATTGTGCCCATCACCTCACACGACAAGGCCCACGTGCCTATAGTTTTATTAGCACCCTTGCCCTTCAAAACTGGAACGCAGTAACGATCACATTATTGCTGGACAACAGAATTAGGTATGGTGGCCGAACTTCCCTGGCCGAACTCTTCTTTCACAGGTAGCTCTACTGCTATCTACATAAGAGTAAAATGTTATACCAATTAATTAAATAAATGTTTTTCATAAAAATCGTGTTTCAATTATTTTTTCAATAATAGTAGGACGTGTAGTGAAACAAATTTTTCTTAAATGTTTCGTGAGTCACGTTAACCCGTCAAGTTCCATGAGAACGAGAACAGAGTACCGA